AAAAAAAAAAAAAAAAAAAACGCCTCCATACATTAGTAGATATCAGTCTGAGTTTCACTTTCAGTGTAAATAAGGGTATTGTCATTGTTTACACTCATTTGGAAAGTAAATCGTGAAAAAAAGGCCTTCAGACTAGAATCACAAAGAAGAAAGCTTTCTCGTTTAACCCTTACTTTTGAGAAGATGTAGAAGTTTTTTAGATTATCAAAAGTTTGGTTTCTAGCCCCGATCTGCCTCGTGGGCAAGTTTCTTTGTCTCCTAAAGGCCTTGCTTTGCATCGTTTAAAATAAGGAGGAGCCAGCTGTGATGGCACGTGCCTGTAATCCGGCACTGGGGAGGCTGAGAGGAGCCTCGCTGTGCGTTCAAGGTGTCACCAGTAGACTGCATGCCTAGTGTGTGCTGAGGCTCTGGGTTCAAGCCCCAGCCCTGCATAAATAAAGTTGAAATAATGTGATTTCTCAAGTCTCCTCCAGCTCTAAAGTTCTAAGGAGCCAGAAAGTTAAACTTGTTAAACTTCTGCAATATTGTGTTAGTGAATATTTGTGTTGCCAGGTAACCTCTCTAGGACAGTAGATTCTGCATAGGTTTAACACAGTAGGGTACCGGGATGTTATGTAACAAGATTGGTGGCTACTGTTTCTGTTTAAATAAAAGATAATGTTAGCTAAAGACTATCGGCTGGGTGCCTTGGTTGGCAGGGAGCTCTGAGGACCCCTGCAGGCCTGCTGCGTGTTTGCAGGAGAAGGGAAGAGGCAACTGAACCTCAGGGCCGGAGGACAATGGAATCATCTAGCCAACAACAACACGTTTATTAAACCCAGTCATGTCTCCACCATGTCTCCTCCCAGCCTGAAAGAGCCAACTTTGTGAGCTGAGAAGGAAGAAGTGAAACAAAGAAGTAGGTGAAACAAAGTACTAGAAGCTACTTTCCGTCCTCTCTGGACCAAGAGCCTTTCGTTGCCCTCAGCACACATTTACTCAGTGTCTGAGATGTGCAGAATTTCCTGCTCGACTTGAACACGTATCCTTAGACCTTTCTGAGCAGGGGAGAGCTGAGGATAGGCAGATATGAGATAGGCATAGCCAGTAAGGTGGCTCGTGCCTCTAGTCTCAGCATTCAGGAGGCTGAGGCAGAAGGATTGACAAGAGTTCAAGACCAAGCGGGGCTACGTAATGAGTTCGAGGCCAGCCTGGACTATATGGAGAGATCCTGTCTCAAAAAGAAAACAAAATAGGGCCAGGAATCTAGCTCAGTGACACCTCAACTACCTCACAAGCTCAAGGTCCTGAGTTCGATCCCTGGTACAAAAAAAAAAATGTAATTTATCTTCCAAAAATAAAAAACCCCAAAAATCAAAAATAATTTTTAAAAAGGAAATAGTTAGATATTTATCCTGGAGGACAAAAAAAATGTTAGGCAGCATAGAGACATCAACAAATGCCCGGCTGGGCGTGGCAGCGCACTCCTGTAATCCCAGCACTCAGGAGGCTGAGGCAGGAGGATCGCTGTGAGTTTGAGACCAGCCTGGACTATACAGTGAGTTCCAGGTGTCAACTACATAGTGAGACCCTGTCTCAAAAACAAAACAAAAAAAAAAAACAAATGCCCGACAGAGGACTCGTGGGGAAGCACGTGTACCTTGGCACAGTGTGAGAGGTCCCTGAGAGATCATCTGTGGCTTTGTCCCCCATCCGCTGTGTGGAGCCAGACTTCATTCCCAATGCTCTCACAGCCGGTCTTGTCCCGCAGCTTCTCTCATGAGTCCTCTGGCTGTGAGCAGAGTCACTCTTGGTGCCCATCTCAAGTCAGCCTTTCAGAGATTTTGAAAGGATTGATAATGGCTTCCCTTCTGTCACCAGGCACCAACCCGTCAGCAGGTCCTGTCCCTGTCCGCTGCACTTCAGGCTGCATTTGCATCAGGCCAGTTGGCGCATACCTGTGACCTCAGCACTGTGGGAAGCTGGGGCGGGAATAGGGCAAGTTCATGCCCAGCCTGAACAACTCCACAATTTAGGGAGACCCTGTCTCCAAATAAAAAATATACAGGGCTGGGGATTTAGCGCATGGTGCCACCACCTGCCTTGCAAGTGCAAGGTCCCGAGTTCAATCCTCCGTACCCCCCCAAAGGGCTCGGTTTGATCCCCAGTACCGCATCTCCCCCCGTGTACTTGGTTTGAACAAGCCTGCTCCACTCCTGCCACTCTGGCCTAGGCCACCTCAACCTCTTGCTTGGTGTAAGCAGCAGCCTCCCAGCAGGTCTCCCCAGTGCCTGTCTGTTCGCTGTGCCACAGCCAGAAGGCACCACTTCGAAATGAACGCGTGCCACCTGCAGCCCCCCTGACCACTGCTGACCTCCCTGGTCCTCTTCCATCTGTGTTTGACCACACGGTTCCAATCAAGGCAGCCTCCTCCCTGTGCCCCTGGGGCGCCAGGCCTGTGTACAGTCTGTGTAAGGTCAGCTTCAGGGTCTCCCTCGGACCCCTGGCTACCGCACATGCCCGAGTCCCTAGGCATATCCTCCTGTGTACTTTAAATCGTCTCTAGCCAGGTGTGGTGGCACATTGCTGCAACCCTAACACTCAGGACGCTGAGGCAGGAGGATCATCCCAAATTTGAGGCCAGCCTGAGGTACATACTGAGTTTAAGACAACCTGTACTACATAGCAAGACTCTGTCTCCAAAAAAAGAATCACTTCTAGGGCCAGGGATTTAGCTCAGTGACACCGCACCTGTCTCACAAGCAAAAGGTTGATCCCCGGCACCACCAAAAAAAAAAAAAATTCTACATGGCTCAGAATGCTTAGTACAACGCAGTGCTATGGGGGTGTTTGTTAGGCTACTGTTTAGGGAATAAGAGCAAGAAAAAAATCTATTCATGTTCAGTTCAGAGACTGTTTTTCTTAACTATTATGAACCTGTGGTTGGTTGACTCCACCTACACCGAAGCTGTGGGTATGGAGGGCCCGGCCCACTGTGGCTCCTGTCACTTCCCAGGAATACTTTGCCTCTTCTGTGGTTCTCAAGCCAAAGCCTCCTCCAGAAAGGCCTCCCAAAGGCAGGACCAAGCTTTTTCGTTGTTTTTGTTTTTGTTTCTTGAGACAGGGTCTTGCTGTGTAGCCCAGGCTAACCTTGAACTCATAGCAATCCTCCTGCCTCAGCCTCCCGAATGCTGGGATTACAGGCGTGCGCCACCATGCCCAGCTTCCAATTGTCCAGTCTTACATGCTTCTTACTCCATGGTACTGTCTACCTTCTCCCAGTTTACTTTCTTATAAAGTCAATTCCTCCCCACTCTCTTCTGGTACTTGGACTTGAACCCAGGGCCTTCATACTCCATGCCCAGCCCTGTTTTTATATATTTATTTTGAGAATTTGTTTTCGGTTCCAGGAGGGGAGCCCAGCTACTCATAGGCCTTTGACTGAGGATGCCCCTCCTTTGCTGGGAAGGCTGTCCTCACTGTCCAAGCAAGGAGGAAGGGGACACTGGCCTAGCTACCAGCCGGATCAGTCACATCAACCCTGGCGATCAGCGGGGTGACAGATGTTACAGCCAGATCACCCTTGTATCCTTTTTTTTTGAAGCAGGGTCTCACTAAATCTCTAAATGGCCCAGGTTGGACTCAAATTTGGAATCCTCCTGACTCAGCCTCCCAGAGTGCTGGAGTTATAGTTGTGTACCACCACATCCAGCCAAAGGCTTGTTTCTGCCCAGGTGATATCTTTCTCTGAAATCACCTTGTTCATTTATTTTTGTTTTCTGCCACACCCAACTCTACAGTGTAAACTCCACCGCACCTTCAGGGGCCTGCCTGTCCTGTTTCCTGTTGTGTCCCCCATGCTAAGAAGAATGCCTGGCCCTCAGCAGGTTCCTGTTTGTTGAATGAACAGCTGAACAAATGAGCGCCTGTGCCCACGGTCCCAGGCTCGTCCTGGCAGTCGTGCACTTGCGTGTTCTCTCCTCTCTCCCACTTCCCTCCCCTCCGGTCTCCTCTCTTCGCCCCTTCTAAAAGCCATTGCTGCGGTGCAAAGATCAGTGTCTGCAGAGCACTTTCTGCAGAGCTTCCCTGTGTCACACTCCCTGTGCACTCAGCGGCAGCCTGCTCAGTGCCCCTCCCTACAGGTCTGTGGGGCTCGGACCTGGGGATCACAGGCCGGAGGGGTCAGGCTCCCGGGCTCCACTGTGCTAGCGCTCCGCCTGCTAGAAAGTCACTGAGCTGGGGACTTCCCGAAAGCGAAAGGCCTCAGGCAGCTGTGGGCCCCACGGCAGGGATGACAGCCAGCTCTGCCTGTGCGGGGAAGGGGTTTGCTCGTC